CTTTTTTAATTTTCTCAAAAAATATTTAACTTACAAAAAAAAGTTTCGTACAAAAGTTGTTTAAAAGACAATTATAAACAAAAAAATTATCTTATATTTTTTCATTTAAACAAATATTTTTCGAGTTACATTACATTTAATATGAGTACTAAAATTTATATTTCATTTTACGGTTACTTTTTATCATGTTATACATTAGACACAATGTTATAAATGCATACATGTATATGTGTGAATTTATTTATTTATAGTATCATTTAAGTGTAGTGTATATTAAGATACAACCGATAGAGTAGGTAATTGATTTGACACTATTGTTTAAACCCAACTAAACGCTGAATTGTACATTCCCAAACAACAATCATATTATGTCAATTGCCACCGGAATTTCTGGTAATCTTTTTCTTTTTCTTTGCCTTAATTCCAACTACTTGGGGTCGGCAACCCTTATCCTAAGATTCCACTTGACACGATCTCCCACTTCTTCTACGCTCACATCAACTGTCCTCAAATTGCATTCAATAGCATCCCTCAATCTCTTTTTTGGTCTTCCTCTATATCTTCTTCAACATTCGTTTCTATAACTGTTCTTACAGCTTCCGATTCTTCTCTCCTCATAGCATGACTAAAAAATCTAAGTCTATTTTCTGTCATCTTATCCACGATTGACGCAACACTTTTACTTCCTCTTATATGCTCGTTCCTTATCCTATCTTCTCTAGTCACTCCACTCATCCAACTAAGCATTCTCATCTCTGCTCTACTTTCTTATGAACCGCCCAACACTATGAACCATACATCATAGCTGGCCTCACAATTTCATACTGAATTTAAAAACTATAATTAGTATTTATTCATATATTATATTTTAAAATCAAAGAACTACTAATCAGGATATAATTAAAGAAATAAGAGTTGATGTTGCTTTTAGAATATTCCACCAATTTCTCTAAATGAAACACTATCTACAGATTTGCATCGAAGCGTTTCTTATGATAGTGATTTTAATCACTGTCAGATATCATTATACTTAATCCAACTATGCACGTCACCACTGTGCCGCGACCCCCCTGTGCTAGGTTTTTTATCATTGTATGTATATTGAAATAAATATGTAGAAGATTTAAATGTCAAGTTCTTAGTTAATATAAACATAAAAAAAAAAATTTATTTTAAAAACGCTTCTGAGTGATAGGGTTGATAGTAAAACTAAATTTGGATGGCAACCTTTTTTTGTTTCTTCAATTAATTTTTTTTTGTTTATTCTTGTATACAAACAAGATAATTCTTTTAACCCAAGCCACTCAATTTCTCTATAATCATTTATCTATTATTCCTTATAACTTGCATACAATTGCGACATGACTGGTCGCAAATGACTGGTTGAATAATTTTAAATTAGTGCATCAGAGGATATTTACAATTTTGTACCTAGACATGAGGAGGAGAGCGCACGAGAAATGACCAATGATAAAAATAACAACATCCGCACTTCACCTTCAGTCAATTATGTCAGTTGTCGAAAATAACTTNGCTGCATTTATACGACACAAATTATGTCAGTTGTCGAAAATAACTCAAATATACTTATCTTTAATAATAATATAATTGGTACTATCTTAAAGTAATTCAGTAAACCAAAATTGATATATTGATACGACAAAATGTAATAATACAATCAATTTTGTTAAATTTGTAATTAATCATTAATTAACTGTCCATAAAATAATAAATCTAATATAATTATCGTACATGGCATAAAAAATTAAACTTCTAGAATCTTTTTTTAAACGAATATGCGTTTTCCAAAAAATAAAATGAAAATAAATAATTAAAAATCAACAAAATCAGTTATAACATATTTTAAGACTTTTACATGTTTTTTACTGTATGTAGTGTTTTAGTAGGCTATTTATTGAGAAAACAATATTGAAGTTATTATTTTTGAATTTCTTGTAAAATTTTCTTTACTTGAGTTTTACTTTTATAATTCTAAGTTAAGAGAAAAAAAAGTTATGAGACATAGATCAATTTCTATTAAATTTGACTCTTCGACTCAACTTAATAGGCCCGGGGGCACGGGTTAACCTTAACGGATCGGTCCCAAATTTTGCACAGCTCATTTTTTTGACCATTAAAAAAAAATTAAGAGGTAATGTAAAAAAAAAAAAAGATGTTCAATTTTTGAGGGCCACCTAGTGGATATACATGTGTAAAATACAAATTCCAAAATAGAAATTACTAAAAAAATTTATTATTTTGAGAAAAATTGAGAGGCTAGCGTTAAAAGAATCATTCTTTATTTGTTGTACAATGATAATATTTATAATTGTTTTTAAAAATTTTATTGTGTTAATAAATAGAAAATAAATATCTTAAAATTTCTTAACAATTTAAATTGTCTAAAATTATTTATAACTTTTTTTAAAAACTGTTCGTCAATATATATAATTATTTATTATACTTTTAATAATAAAAAATTATCAAAATATTATTTAAGTGAAATTTTTTTAATAAATCAGTTACATTTTTTTTTAGAGTGATTGTTTAGCCTTAACATTGCAAGAATTGATACATATAAGGAGTGTTTTAACAAAAGCAGAAATTGAAAGTTTGCCCGTTGAAGGTCATTTTAAAGATGATGTTGAAAACCGAAAAGTAATTGTATAAGACAAAAATTATACTTTCTGGGGTTTGATTTTGATGCATTGAACTATGTAGTTTTTCTTATCCTCTTTAGGACAAGCATTTTTTTTTAGAAATGATATCAAACATAAATAAATAATAAATATAAATTATTTATATTTTATGCTGTAGGTATGTTTCCTGTGTATGAAAACTAGGTTTGGTATTTTCGGGCCATGGGGGCAGGAATGTAAAATGTGTCAAAGAACGGTGTGTTCAAAATGTTGTACTAAGGTAAAGGTCAAGATTGTTTTTTTTTGTAAATATAAACTAAAAATATTATATATTAGATGCGTATGCCTACTGATCACTTGTCACAAATTCCTGTTGTTGCACTTAGTCCTAGTGTAGCTGCATCAGAACACAATCCATGGTGGACAAAAAGTATGAACAATTGGGGAAGTGCTCCAACAAGTCCACAAAAAACTCTAGGAGTACCCACAAAGAATACTAATATGTCTGCAAGTTATCATGGATCATCGGGTCAAAATAATAATAAGTAAGATTTTTATTTTAAATAATGTGTGATATGGTGTGTTTGCAGAATATTTTGACCTGATAAAATTTATGATTATCCATTAGAATAAATTTTATTAAAACGTTATGCTATTCTCTTTCAATAGTTCAAATTTTTATGCTTGTAGCCCTGTTACGTTTAGAGTCATTAAGTATCAAGTGACATAAACTGTTATCGCTTAACTTATAAAATTTGATACTGTTTGGTCAAATACTGACTTTTTCACTCAATTAATTTCAACTAAATTAATAATTACACTTTCTATCTTCTATATTTTAAAATTTTAACAATTAAATAATATTATATTTTATTTAAATGTGAATTCTCATTTGCTCCAGTAAATGTGTGTACTCGGGGTAATACCTGTTATGTAGATCTTATTAATTAAAAATATAATTACTTAGATTATTTGAGATTATTATTTAAAATTTATTTTTGTTTAATGTAATATTTAATAACATTGTTTAACTAGCACCTTTATTGGGGTAAGTGAAACCATCATATTTTTTTACTTTAATAAGTAATAAGTCAGTATGTGTTTAGCGTTGATAATGGTAGCATTGTTTCTGAAATACGTATCCGCAATTTTTTAGTAATATTTGTGGCTTTTTGAGTTTAATATTTTTTTGTTTGAAATTAATAATATTTTTGATATAGTTTTAATTTTAAGTTATTTAATAAGTAAATTAATAATTAATAAGCACTGTCAACTTGAATTTTTATTTGTTTGAACTTATTAGTAGAGATCCTGGTACTCTGACAGTTTTTATATTATATATGATAATTATTTAACAAGGTTTAATACATGAATCATTTTATGACAATTTAAGAAAAAAAAGCATACACACTTACCTTTCCTCACCTTACTAATCAAAGTAGTTTAATATATAAGATGATAAATTAAAGAAGATACTCATTTTCTTGCAAACTATAGAAAATTTTTAATTTTGTAAAGAAAAAAATTGTGTTGTGACGTAAAACTCTACAATAATGTAAAGATAAATAAATTTTTCCTCATCCCTTCAGAGATAAAATACTTAAACATTAATTTTCTTTAATAGAAACCCTTTTTTTAAATTTAATGATATGACAAAAAATCAATTTATAAAAAATTTTGCTCTTATAATATTATTTAATGATGAATTGTTCTTCTGTTATTGCTATCAAAGTTTAGCAGTTTTTGACAATTTTCTATTGATAATTTATTGTTTAAGTAATTTCCATCTTCACGCTGTTATAAACAAGTTTTTATTGATAATCATTGTTATATCACTCACAATAGCAAGAATAAATATCGATATTTATGGCACATTTAAAAAGATTATTGTTGCCTCTGGTTTTATAATACCAAATTTAGATTATCTTTTATTTTAAATTGAATATCGGTAAATAATTTTTAACGCCGTAGGTTGATTAGATAAAAAAAAAAATCTATAAGGACAAATTCCAATATACTATGATTCATTAAGTTTTTAGTTCCACATTTGGTCCAAAGTTTGATTCTTTTCTTAAGGGAATTTCAAAATATGGTAGAAATTCATAAAAATTATTATTATAATTGTATATAGAATTTTTGAGATTTATTATATTATAATATTTTAATTTTCCATAATATTTTTGAAGATACTTTGTTAGTTATGCAAAATAAATTTTAATTGATGAACTCATAAAAGCCCCTGTGATGAGTTGGAGGTTATTGTTAGTGTAACTTTTATTAATGCGTCTTTATACATATTATACTAAAATAAAATGTGCAACTTATTGTAATTATTCATTTGAATTTTAATTATTTTTAATTATTAGTTATAAGTTTTTGAGATTAAAATAAGTTTACTATGTTATAGCTCAAAACACAATACTCAAATGCCAGTTTGTATTGATTGTAAAACTATGGTTTTACAAGAAATTAAAACTACACGGGTAAACCGATCTAATTTAATAAGAAATTTAACACTAGATGTTTCGTCCATTTATCAATAATGGCTTATTTTAATTTAATTATTCAAATATCATAAATTAATCTCTGAGATGTAATCCATGTATTTGCTTTAACAATAAAAAATAGTTAATGCATAGTATCAATTTTATTTTTCTGTATACAAAGTAAGTGCTTTATAAATGTAACTAATAAATGAGTCACCAATAATAAATTATTTCCTAAAAACTATGTATTTTGATTTGTTTATTATAATGATCAGTTTTAAAATATTAAAGCACAATAAATGCATGTAAGAAGTATTAATAATAAGTATTGTAATAAGTTATTTTTAGATCTAATGTATTAATAATAATATTGAATATAAATGATGTTATAGCAGTTCATGAAATTTTAACAATATGTAAATATAAATTATATTTGTTAATATAGTAGAATAATGTTAAAATAAATTGTAATTTGTTAATCGTTTCAGTTTTATGACTATTTATTGTAAAAATATAAATAATTAATAGAAAGTTGACATAAATAAAGAATAATATGAATTATATAGTTATCTACTTTATTTCAAATTTTTTTGTTAGTACGTCTTGACTTTAAAAAAAATGTAATTATGTGTAATTATTCATTTGCAGATGTGTTATTCTTATAACTAGAAAAACAACTGTCTTATAATAATTTTTTGAAGTATAATGATTTATTTTTGGTGTTACTAGCTTTTTAGCAATATCTAAGCTTTAGTTTAATTTTGGTGTCTTTTAATTTTAGTATTTTACACTACAATTTAATGTCAGTTTTTTTAGGAATTTTGAAAGGCAGATCTTATTTTATCAGACTTATAATAGATAATGTAAGTTAATTAATTTATCAGGAAAGGAAGAATAAATTTCAAACTAATGTAATAGTATTATTATAAAAATATATATAAGTTAATGACTATTTATCATTAAGAAGAAGATTGTACATCAACTTATTTGTTAAAAACAATGTTTTTAAAAAAATATTTTGTACCCATTCTAAGCATCTGCAATTAGCCATAAAAAGCAGAGGTAAACTGGCCTTTGGTATAAGTGGAAAATTGCTTCCTGACTGTTCTTTAGAGCAGTGAGAGCTGCTATGTTTAATGTTTAATGTAATCTAGTTTAATTTATGGAGCAATATAAATATTGTTTGGAGCAAATGGGCGGGGGCGTCATAGTTTTAAAAGGTCTGGAAGAAAATATAATATATGTGAATTTATTAAATAAATTTTCAAGAACCTTAACTAAAAAAACAAAAATGATACTATACTGCAATATGAACAAACTTTATTTTAAAACAATAATTTGAAAATATATACATTTGTAAATGAAATATTATTGAAATGCAGCTTATCGCTTTCTTTCCACTTTCTGTGCTTTTTTTTTCTTAGCGTCCTTTTTTTCTTGAGCAAGTTGTTTTTGTTTTTCTCTACAATAAAATAATTTTTTTTATTAAATTTTATTAATAAAAAAATTCATAGAATAAAATATTTAATAATTTTAGTACAAAAAAAATAAATAATAAAATATTGGAATTATACAGAATGTTGAATAAGTTTGGAATTCCTCAACAAAAATCAATTTTTTAATGGTTAAATAACAATTTTTAGAGGTCAATAATATAATTTAGTTAGAAATTTACATATTTTATAAAGGTAGAGTTGATCCTTAAAAAAAATTAGGCGATCAAGTAATTTTTTTATGTAATGTAGTCATTACTATTATTATTTGAAATTAAATATTTTATCAAATAAAAAATAATATCAATACATAGAAATAATATATTAGTAAGTTATTAGAACATTTAGTAAGTTTTGATGGATGACAAGTGCATAGATTTCTTAGTAAAAATTAAATATTAATACTTAATGAGTGAATTCATGATTAAATCTATACATATATGTGACAAACAATGCACTTCTATAACTTCTTAAATTTTTAAAAATTTTGCCAGTATACATTTTTAGAAAATTAACTTGGAATTGTAGTTAAATATTGAGTTATTTTAAAACTTAATATCTAGATTATTATTCACACTATCAAAATGAAAATAATGAGTTCATTTTTTCCATCCTTTAATTAATTTTTATGTCCTACTACGCTTTTACCTGTCTTCTTTATCTTTTTCTTTCTTTCTGAGACTCTGTTCTTTGGCTCGTTCTCTCTGTTCTTTTTTAGCAGCCAATACAGCACTTGCATTAGTGTTGTGTTCTATATCTAAGTCACTTGTTTCTTCTTCTTCCGAATTATCTTCCTTCTGAAATCCAGAAAATTGTTGATATTCAACTTTCAAGTGTAAAAATCAAAACAATATGACACTGTAAAAACAAAATATTAATTAATAATATTTTAATCAAATTGTTAAAAAATAACTTCTGAAAAACGTAAAATTTTTAAAACTGTAATTAACATATTTGTGTAACATGGTTCAAATTATTGTAGTTAATTAAAATAAAAAAACAATATTATTCAGATTAAATTTATATTAACAAATGATTGAAAATTTTGAAAAATGATTAACTACTTATTCAATTATGCTGAATTTGTTGTACCTCATAATTTGTATACTTTTAAAACTTGTTTTTTTTTTTAAATTTTCTTCAACTTTACGGTTTGTACTTGATTTTTCAAATGCAAAATAAAGATTATATAAGGATTTTTATTTTTTGTTACCTTAGAAATGTTTTTATACATACTTGAGCATATTGTGATAATATATTTTTTCTTATTTTAGCTAAGTCTGAATCTTTATCAAGGTCAGAGGTATTTTTATTGGGTATTGTAACAACAGTTCTTATATTATTTTCTAGTAATTTAATTAAAGCTTTTTCAGGATTTTCAGTTTCAATTTTAGCAGTTTTATCTTCAGTAGGGTTTTGTGTGTGATACATAGATACAATTTCCATACATTGAGTCTTTGCTTCTGATACACTCTAAAAAAATTAAATATTAAAAAATTGAAGTAATAATCAACCGATGGTTATAATAAATAAACTGTTCATAAAAATTATATTAAAAAAGAGTTCACAAATGATACACAAAAAACACTGACAATTTAACAAAAATAATAATTAAGTATTTAGATAGTTACGATAAAATATATATGGTTATTTGAGAAACTAAATATTTAGTAATAACAGAATAATTATTAAAATTAATTATTCAATTACTCATATAATATTTGAATAATATAAAAAATTTAATTTTCATACTTAATAATAAGTAAAAAAAAATTTATATTACTAATATGCTATATTTGTATTCTATATAGTTAATATTTCATATTTTCATACTAGACAAAATTAATGGATATATTTTCTATAATCAAGATTATGTTAGAAAACTATTATACTTCTCTATTAAAATATATTTATTGACTAACCATAACATTAGAATTAAGAAAGAAGATAGTTTGTTTGATGTGTACGAGGCACACCCAGAAAAAAGTGTAAAAATATTTTAATATAAGGATTTTTATTCTCTAAAGTTAAGTAGTGGATGGTTTTCAATATTTTTCTAAGGAACCATAAAGAATAATATGTACCTTTATGTAGGTATTAGTATCTTATTTTACATATTATAATGTATAAATACGTGTCTGGGGGTAATCTAGACTATTTAAAATTCTTGTATATCCACCATTGAAAGTGAGTCATATTTTTTTTAGGGAGGCTTTTAAAGATTTGAAAAAAAACCACTGTTACAAATATCACAAACACATTATCAATTTCTATAGTATATGTCAATTTTATCAATAAACATAAATACAAAGTAATATTTTTAATAATGATTTTGAGTATAGTTATTGTCAACTTTGCTTCATACATGGAAATATTGGCTTAAAATTAAACTTTTTAAGTAATTTAATACAAACTATCAACTCACTAAAACTTCAGCAAGAATAGATTCAAGTGCAATAATTTTTTCACTTTGTTCTTCTTCACCTTCTAAAACACTCTCAATATAGTTTAAATAAATATCTTCATCTAAAGCAAATTGTTTCAATTTTGAACTAAGCCATGCAGTTTTAGCAGATTTTTCCATTTTCATAAATATTATAGTAATAAGAACTGAAAATAATAAATAAATTTATTGGCTTGATGCAGAAACTTATTCACATTATTTTTAATTTTGTTATTACTATTATCTAAAATATGAGAATTTACGAGATCTTTTTTTAAATTAAGACTGTGTTAAAGCTAAAAATATTATCTTTCACAATATCATAAAAAATTAAGATCACATATTTGCTAAACAGTAGTAATAAGAAATATAAAAAAAATTATTATAAAGAAATAATAACTGTTAATGACTTTCTATGCTAAGCCAATGAAATTAAAATAACTGTTTTAGTAAAACAATATGAAGTTTAGATAAAGTAAAATTTAGAATTAAACATGTTATATAAAGTTTAGTAAGAGCATAAAAATTAATATATGAAGAATAAATTTTTATTTATTAATTGAAGTCTCTTTTTTTGGACATCAATAATTGATTATATTAATACAAATTTTATTATACAGGCTGAAATAGGGGTTTAAGAAAATGTATACAAAGTAAACCTTCAAATAAATAAAAAATGAACAACAATTTTGGAAAGTATAAAATTACTTTTATTATTTGAAAATAAATTAAATAGAATTTTTTACTTGCAAAACATTTTTTCCTATTAAATAGTGAATATAGTGATTTTTTTGACATTCATATAATAAAATTCTATTTTAAAGGATTTAGACTAAAAAACTAGTAAAGTTTGTTTTTAGAGTATAATTACATAAAAAGCATATATAAACTAGTATTTAAGTGAAGTATACTAAGATGTAGTATTTTATAATTAATATAAGAATTTAAAACTCATTTTTGTTTTTAATTTAAAAAAAAAAAAAATTGGTCTCACACACAATATTTAAATTTTTTAGATATATTATTTGCACTTATACACTATTTTAATAGGTACTTAAAAAGATATAAAAAATTGCCTAGTTACTAATGAATATTGTGATTATATTTTCTAGTAGGATGAAAACATATTACCTTAAAGGAAAACTTCAATTAAAATTACAACAAAACTAAGGAGACTAAACCATGTTAGGTTTGTTATCATTTTACACAATACAAGTTGAGATAATTTTATCTCTTTAAAAGGTTATAACCATTTTAACCAAAACTTCTAAAAGTCCAATATTACATTATTACTAATTTAAAATTACTTCATTTTCATCAATGTAAAAGTAAAATCTTATGACCGTTATTTATTTTTAAAAAGATTTAAAATACTTACAGATAAATAAATAATTATTATTATATTGAACACAGAGCGTCAAATATTGTATCTAGTCTATGGTAAATTTATATTAATTTTTAATTATTCAATTACCTAGTAGGCATTTTAAATTCTATTTTTTAATTTAAATTTTGTATCCCCTAAATATAACAGGTATAATTACCTTTATTATTTTAGTAATTAATATTATCACGATTTATATCATTGTTTATCATTTTATTTCAAGTAAAGTTATAAGACGATATTATTATACTGAGTAATATATACGTATAAATACTATTTTTCGGCTTAAATATGTGTATGTTTTATATGAATCTGTAAAATTTTGTTGATAAAACGTATTTCTGTGTTTTTAAATAAACATCTAATACAAACATATTGGTAAGTTTTGTCAGTAAAATTTATTTATTATTAATTGTTAATGCGCTTAAAAATATTATATCATACATCCAATGAGTTTGGTTAGTAAAAATTTAATTTAAAATTATTTAAAATATTTTAATTAAGTAATATGTATGTTTAATTTGTTAAGTAACAAACAAAATATTCAAAAAATACAGCACGGACCATAACCATAATATTTTTAGTTATAGTTATTTTACTAGTACTTCTTATATATATATATATATATATATATATATATATATATGTATATATGTACTATTTATTTTAAGAAATTTTAAATATATCGCATTTCGTGAAATTAATTTTTAGCTATATTAATGAGGTATAAGATTTTATTATTAAGTAATATACTTGTTGAGTTTAAGTGATAATAGTATTTTAAATCTTCTAAAGTTTTAAAAATATAATATCATCTTAACTCCTTATGATGGTTCAATAGAATTGTTAGCATCTGGCAATTTCTTGACACTGCGTTACGGTATTTAATACAACACACGTCAGAGAAAGGTCTAACTATAAAAGAACACCCAAGAAGATATAATTATTATAATTCCAATGGGTTAATTATTTTCGTATTTTTGTATGTACGGATATTCGTTCGATTAATTTTTTAAGTATAAATGACTGAGGGTTTATTGACACTTTTTATATTATTTTAAAAATAATTATCACTCACACAGAGCACTTCGGTGTTTTTAAATTATATCTAGTTTGCCAAACATTCAAAGAACGCAGAAGGAAACGAAATTTCTTGTCCGGTTGACTCATTTTGTTCTATTTAAAGTATCTAGCAATACTTTTCCTGACTACTTACAGATAAAAAATTTCATCAGCTAAAAAGTATGCACTAGAATATTCTAAATCTTTTTTTTTTTCATAGCAAATTCTGCATTTAAAACCATGACCTTTTAAATGCAATGAGTTGCAGTTTTTGATCATTCAAATAGAACATCATGATTTCTTATAAAGGTCAAATGATTCAATTTATATTAATGGAATTTTAACACTATAATTCGATTGTTGATATATTTTTTCTCTGATTTTTTAAATAATTGTATACCAATTGTTTAAGGCTGGAATGTAAATTAAACACCAGATTATTACGACCCATGTTGTCACAGTCCACATCTAGCGACTATATTATCTTTGATAAGGAAAAATGTAAAAATAATAAACAAATTATATTTCATATGGCATATTTTATTTACTATACACATTAAACGATTAAATATATACAACAATATTATTATAAATATGCTAGTGAGAAAACGCTTTAAATTAGTACTGTTTTAAAGTAGGTAAATAATTGAATATTACACAAAACAATAATTTACCATTATGTAAGATGTGTTATAAAATGGAAGAGTGGGTATAACAGTATTACTACTATTATAAGTTAAAGATATATATATATAAATATTGAAAAAAGTTTACAAAGGCTAATTACTTTTATCAGAAAGAATTTCCAATTAATCCTTAATAAGATAAACTTTTTATTTACCTAATTATAAGTCACAGTACAACATTATATTGGCTTGATGTACATGGGAATATTTAAGTATGATATAAAATCATATGGTTTCATATACATTTTAAGTAATTGAAAACAAAACAAACTTTTTTTATTTACAGTATTTACATTAATTAATAAAAACTGATTATTTTTAAAAAAGTATTTTGGATTAAATATCCAATATGATGTTATTGTTATATTGATGTAATATGATGTTGAAGGTAGCGGAGAGAATAAATATCAATAATTTAATTTTTGTTGTACAATTTTTTCAAGTTACTTGAGCATATTAATATTTAACATACAATACATTTAATTTAGAGAAAATATTTATGTTCATTATTCATGATTTTAAACAAAATAATAAAAAAGGAAAAAATATATTTATAGTTCTAAATACGATTAATAAATAGTGTGTACGTAGTAACAATATTAAGAACAAACGCAGTACCCCAAAAAATAATTTATACATAATAATTTTTACAATTTATTACATTTTAAAATCAAAATAGGCCTATTATTTACGGTAACATAACAAAACTGCATTAAAAAAATTATACAAAAATAGACTTTAAAATAATGATTGACTTAACTTGGTGCGGAGACCCTACAAAATAACTATATTCAGTACTATCAAGTTTTGGATATATATTGTATATATATATTACATTCAAGTATTTTTTTGTTTTAATAAGGAAAATATAAGTATTAGGATAAAAATGAACAAAGTATTATAATAACATATAACAAAAAAAAAAAAATAATAATAATAATAAAAATAAAACAACAAAAATCCCCTGATAGAAAAAATCATAGTATAAGATATCATACTTTAAATTATATCAAGTTTAAAATAATATTATAATGCTTCACAATAAAGAATCGCGAAAATAAAAGGAGAAAATTTGATAAAAACTTATAAATTATGACTCAAGTTTGTATTTTGTTTAAAAAATTTAATTATTTGGTTTCAAGATAGCCTACTAATATAGTGTATAAGTAAAATTCATGAAATACACTATTGATTAGTTTAAAGACATGAACACCCAAGATAATGAGTAAGTTAAGAACTTTATAAGAAGGCCATGATTGTTATCTTTTAACTTCTAAGTTAAAAAATATCAAATATCTGCTCAGTATCTATGGGTTACTTGTTTTAATTTACACACACACACACACACATACATACATATATATATTTGAATTGCATCATTCCCAGTCCAACAACTGTGTAAACCACTTACTATCTAATATTTGGGATAGATATGGAAAGAAATTAATAATTATCATTAATCACAGAAAGAAAACCAAATACACTGTCTCGACGTTTCTTATAACAATATATGCATATTTTTACTTTAAAATATCTTTTATACAACATGATTTTTTAAATTATTTTAGGTTGACCAACGTCTCTCCCCTATCTTCCGTATTCAGTTGCGTGCTTATTATAAACTCAAGAGCCTTTGAACTATTCTAAGTATTTGCGTTGATGTCATATGTTCATAACGAGGCAGGCGTCCCTGTCATCTGCCTCCAAACGGAGTGTCACATGGAGTTGATGTATGGCCAACTGAAACTACTGCCACTCAGCAACATGTCTCGGATGAGCGTCTCAATGGGCGTTTTTCCTACTAATCGGACGAAGAACAATTGTTCGATAACTTGTGAACTGACTGTGCGTAACGAAGGTAGTCTTAGTAGCAATTTTCCAAACCTAATTGGCTGATTGGGATATTGGGTGCGACAGTATTCTTCCAGGGCACACTGCGATTTTTCCTGTAACGACTCAATGTGTGCGACGTCTGATAAACCACAGGCATCTAAATAACAAACAAAAGGTTTTAATTAATACCTGTAAAATTGTAAACGAATATTAGCACAGTCAAGAGAGAAGAATTTCAGAATTGTACCAGTGAATATTTAGGTATTTTATTGAAAATAATGCTTTTAATTTAAAATTAATTACACTCGATGAGCACACTTGCATTTTAAACGTCCCAGAATATGCAGTTGTAGTTGTTCCAAATATTTGTTTTTGAGAATTTTTACACGTATGTTTTATGTCCTTGGGGTTGACATTTTTTATCGAAAGCGTTGAGGGTCAACGAGACACTTTGTTTTACTCAGAAGGGACTGCATTTTAATTAGACGGCTAGTTACGACCCGATTTCGGGTACGCATAATATGTTACCATACTAATGTGTGAAACTTTGCTCATTTATAAAACACAAAAAATGTTTAAAATTGATATATCTACTGACTTTAAAGTAATAATCAAAAATGAATTGATTTTTGGATAGTTCAATTATTTTGTTTAAATGCATTAGCACAAAGAAGCGTGATTTGTGGTATAAGGTTTTTTTTGCCGCTGTGCGTATTATTTATATTTTTAATATTCGATGGAGGTGAAATTATTTTTAAGAAGCAAAAAATACTTGTTACTTATTATCTGTTTCGGATTTTGGGTTAAGGTTATTAGACATATTTTTTCTAGTCTCTTATTTTCGTCCCTGAATATGACCAATATTCAATACCTGAATATAAACGGTCAAACGAAAATTCAACAGAGCTTTTTGTAGACAAATAAATGATATGTTAATAAATTTGTTTGACCAAACCCCTTTTTACAATATCAGCAGTTGTCTCATTATGTTTTCTACATGATTGTGTCGCTACAGAATCGATGAGACGTACGTCGTTAAATACTTTAATGGACCGATTGACCTCGGCCGACCACAACATTGATGAATCCTATTTCTCGGACATAAAAATACGTACGTAATGACGCAATCGCACGTTTATTTAAATTGATAACGTGAGTTTTAACAGTATGGGCTTTTTTTCACTCGTTATTGTCTGGCGCTGTTTTTTGCTCGCCGTTCGGAGGTTTTTTTAATTGTCACCGTGTTATTTGAGAAGCAATTTCACAAGTCGACGACGGGCCATTAATTAAAGAATTTAACAAGAGAACAAAATCTAACGCAATTTTATGTATATATAAATAGTTGTTTGAACTGTCGCGTCACGTGGAGTTTGTCAATCATACGTCTTCACGTCGTTTCACTATTAATTATGTTTTATAATGTTATTAATTATTCGTTCTTCTTATTTTTCGAGTGACTTATTTGTTTAAACATTAAAATTCAATGAATTTTTGTTTTTTTTTTAGAGAGAGAAACACAAATCGTATTTATGCAATTTAAACGAGTAGTACTTGTGTTGTTAATAATCAGAGATACACGTCTGTTACATTTAGTTGGTAGTACGTGTTATCGCCTGGACTATGTACACTGTATTATTTCGTTTGATTAGTATTTGCTTGTTACAATATACGCGTAGACAGGTGTGAGGCACGTGTGTACGATAAATGTCAGTAAGCTATTCATTTTTCACGAGGTCATAATGCATTATGGGTTTTTTGTTTTGCAAACACCCTTGTTATTTACTAAACGCCAAAACGCAATGCGATTTTCCGCGTTCAGTTAGAATCACTTGTTACGCATCTGATCTCGACGTATGAACGAGATTCGTGTATTGTTTTTTGTCTCCCCTCGGTTTTTTGCGGTGACTCGTGCGGTCAATCGCCAACACTCGCCCCCGAATCGGATGAGATAACAAATGCTCAAGAGAACGTAGCTATGGCAGTCACCCTTTGTACGACGGTTACACTTGCACATCGAGATCGGCATAAATCCGTTTATATTAAACGACCGCACCCTCGAGGTGCCTGCAGCAGCAGTTTTTTCGCCGTGGTCGTCATCGCGGTGTGGGTTTTTGACAAGGCACTCGCATAATGAAAATGTATAAAAATCGCCTGCCACCATAACGAAACTGTGTTACAACAAATGCGATAGAGTTCACTGCGGATAGTATACCGTACAGCCCCGGAGGGTTTCGACGTTAAATGTCGAGGTACAGAGAAGTCAACGTCATCGACTTTTCGGGCCTTTGTCAATTAAATACTAGACCCGAGGGAGAGCCCAAAAGTAATCTCGTCATTTTGAACTGATTAGCGATTGTTATTATCAATAAAATATCTTACGCCGAGAAATAAAATAAGAGAGACGGGCCATCATCGTCTCGGAGCTGCATTGAAGATCAAGACGTGTTAAGGGAATATTATTATTATTCGAAAAGTGAAAATCGCGGCAAAGTTCAAAACTCATTGCGACCGAGTAGCAGTGGAACGGAAGGTGACGGGCTCGCAATAACCGACAGGCATTTACATAAAAACATTAAAAGTAAAACTTTGGCCGTCGCGAGGGAGTTCACTGTACAGCTTCCAAATAGAATTAATCCATTCCGGTTAACGAGTTCGGAGTGTTGTACGCTATTACTATTTAATATTAATGGTAGTCAGCACTTGGCACTGAGCCTCTCGCTTGTTCGATGACCGAGACATGGCTAAGGCGTGCCTTTTGGTCCTTGTGTTGTAAGTACACGGTAAAGGTTTCCTAGTAGTAAGAATAAGAGCTCAAAACGCCGGTAACACTAAATCTAGAGTAGGATAGTTCTTTACTTGAAACGCTCGCCGATATTATTTTATTGTAAAACGGATTTCGGATGGAAAAAATGTACACAATAATGGTTTATTTAAATATGTTCAGCATAAACGGTACTAGACATTTGTGAACTCATAATCGTGAACACAAATGACATTTATCAAAAACAAGATGAATTGTACGAAAAGCAACTTTAATTATAAGAGTCTAACTAGGTGATAAATTACACGACATTATCAGTGTAATTAAAATACTAAAGAAAAACCAGTTACTATATTGGTACTTATGAAAGGGCTCGTGTACATTGTATCATAACGTTCAATTAAGGAGGTTGTATAGATCGAGTTTGTTATAAGGCCTATAGTGTAATAGGTTAAAAAAATGTTAGCATATATTTTTTTTTATACAATCTGGTTAATTTTTTCAATTAATTTATGTGAATTAAGGACGTTTATTCCTCGACAGCTCGTGGTTTTTTACTTTTTTGAATGTTTATTAACGTTCATCAAGATAATTATAATGGCTAATTGATAAACGCAGCTTATGAACATATTTTATTGGTATTTAAAATTAAACATTTTTTTCACAGTTTGATGAATACTCTCTTGTTGTTGATAACGGTTTTTTTTTTATTATTATTATTATTCGGTTCAACCCGCATTTTGTGTGTTAGATGACGAGGTGGTAGCATACGGCCGTTGCGTGCGATTGTGTGTCAGAGGTCGATCCACTGATTATGCGAGCCCATATATTAAATAGTGCATTGTGCATATAAAGTATTATAATTGTTCTAGAAAGGGTTGGATAATATGGGCTGTGTGACTGAGTCAATTGGTCGCGGTTAATTGAATTCAAATTTGGAGTTAAGTATGTTCTTTAGGAAGTAGCAGTTTTCGGCTTTAAAATCGATTGTTGATTTTTTGTCAATTGTTTTCTGTTTATATATGGGTGAGAAACTTTTGATGTTCTATTATGGAACCTCAAAAGAGCTTGTAAGCCAACTGATCGAGTAATTCATTGACAGTTCGTTTGGGTACCGTCAAGATATCGACATACTCACGAGAACCATAAATTATGCAAAGAAATATTAACTAGGGGTTAAGACAGTGAACATAGTATTCGTGTTGTTTTTTGTCCGCAATTCCGCGAAAACTGTTTATATTGTTGTTGTTTTTTACGACGTCATCCATAGCACCCCGCAACGACCCGTGTAATTCGAGAAATTTCAATTTCGGCCAACTGTCGGCTAATCGTCAACCCCTCTCGCAGCCTATACGGCGGCATACCCCCAACCAATCTGACCCGCTATAAAACACACTTTGACCCTTCACAGTAAGGTTTTGTCACGGCCGTCTCATATCGGGTTACAACGAAAATCTTTCCAGTCACGTTCTGGGATCGAATAATAATAAATATATAAAAACAAAAATACTAACGATCAGTCAAATGTTTAGCAAAGTTAAATGTACTTAATGAAAACGATATGACTTTTTCACCAAAACCTCTAAAATTGTTTAAAACGTCATTTAGTATGTTCTATGAACGATTGTAATATACTAGAGAATACCGTAATAAAGTACTATGCTAATTATTGTAACTATGAACAGTGGGCATTTACTAAGTAGTGATAGTAAAGTATGGGTGGCTATAATTTTGTCACGTGTCGTACCTAATGATCGAATTACAACACCTATCGGCGGTGTTCAAACGCTACCGTTACACGTTATTATCTTGACCCCATTCGTTGTACTCGGCTTAAAAAACAGTAATGAAAATCATTTCGTACTTGCGGTCAACCCCAAGAAGCGACGTTGGATATTACCAGGCAACCGCAATTACTGGACTGAGGCGCACAAAATGGGTTTTTAGTGTGTATACGAGTATGCTAATGTAGTAGTGGACGGATCACGACCAGACGAATTATTATAATTCCATCGAGCGAAGTCGCATTCGGCGGTTTCCTTAGAATTAATGATCGATAAAGATATTAGATAGGTTTAATAATTATACACGGTGTATATTAGTTTTGCCGTTCCACAGACAGTAAGTCACCTGAATCATCCGTGCGAATCCGTCCCGACCGCGGACACGAACAGTGTTCGAGGACACTTCATGTGTGACGTTATTTTTGTGTTTTTGATTGGAATTTTTAAACGTTGTTGATAGTTTATTATTATATTAAATTTCCTTTGGCTCATCGTACAACTGCTGATTGAATTATTATTCTTATAAAAGTTTTTATTTCACAATTACTCAGTAAGTGGTAGCTACAATTGCAAACATTCTTGTACGAACCCATTGGAACTCAACTGGTGGTTTGTGGGTGGTCAAAATTCGAAATATTGCGTGCAGACAATTATTGGAAGCCGGCCGAGAGTTGACCGATTTCAGATTATGAATTTATGAGCGTCGGTCGTAAAAG